TCAAGGAGCGACACCCAAGGCCGTACTTGGTAGCCGGGAGCGGCCCGGTTCTCTTCCCAGATGTGTGTGCTTTTCGCCTTGGGCGGGAGTAAGAGGTCCGGTTATCTTACCTGATGTTTGCTGTTCGCCCTGTTCTCTCTGTCCGCCGCGTGTCCGCGCCCGCCGCGCCGCGACCGCCCGGCGCGGGGAGGGGCACGCGATGGGGGCCGAAGGTCCACCGCGCGGCCAACGCGCGGTTGCCGGTCTAATTATTGGATTGGAGGATGCGCCACGGGGCGGCGTCCGCCCAGCTGCGCGCCCCCATCCCTGGTGGGGGGAGGGGGAGGGCGCGGTGACAGGGCGGGCGCTTGGCCGGCTCGAGTGGCGCGGCGGCACACACGGGGGCGCTCGCCACCCCCTCCCTCGTCACTCGCAGGGGGGGGGGATAGGCGCGAACGGCTCGGCCATCCGCGGGCAGTGTGCGACGGTTCGTCGTGTCGCGGCGGCGCGGGGACCGGCACTGGGTCGACGAGGAGGGCGTAACGCGCTGCCTTTTTCGGCGGGCTGCGTGCCAGCAATTCTTTCGTTTCACAACCGGGCCGCGGGCCGCGGCGGGTGTGAGCTCCGGATGTGTGGACGCGCCAGAGCGACCCGTCCGACTATCTGTATCTGCCGACGACCCATACGGTCATCTGACCGGTGCGGGCGTTGGGGCTGTACTGTAACTTGGGGCTGTGCAAGCTCTGGGGAGCTTATTGCCCCTGGGGGCAGACCGCGTGGATGCTACTGTCGGGAGCCTGGGGGAGAATGACGGGGGCTTGCGAGTTCTTGGAAGATCATAGTTGACGGTGCGAGCTCTTGGGAGCTTATGGCCCTTGGGGGCACACCGTTAGGGACGCTACAGTCGAAGCTCTTGGGAGTCTGACGAGGGGACTTTGCCAGCTCTTGGGAGCTTATTGCCCTTGGGGGCACACCGTTAGTGACTCTACTGTCGAGAGCTCTTGGGGGCTGTCAGGTGGCTGTGCGAGTTTTTGGGTGCTCTTGCCCTGGGACATACCGTTACGGGCGCTGATGTCGAGAGCTCCTGGGAGCCTGACGAAGGGAGCTGCGCGAGCTATTGGGTACTACTGCCTTTGGTGCAGACCGCCAAGGCCACTGTTGTCGATAGTTCTTGAGAGCCTGACCGGTGGCCGGGCGAGCTATTTGGAGCTTCTTGCCCTGGGGGCTAGCTACTACGATTGTTTCTGTCGCGACCTCCAGGAAGCTTGAGGGGTTACTGTGCGAGCTTTCGGGAGCTCATTGCCCTTGGGGGCAGACCGCTATTGGTGCTACTGTAGAGAGCTATTGGGACCCTGAAGGATGGCGGCGCGAGCTCGCGAGAGCTTCTTGCCCTTGGGGGCAGACCGCTTGGGTGACAATGTCTAGAGCTCGTTGGAGCCGGACGGGTGACTGCGCAAACTCTTCAGAGCTATTGCTCTTGGGGGCAGGCCGCATAGGCGCTACTGTTGGAAGCTTTAGGAGCCAAGCGACTGCTCGAGCCGGCGGGAGCCTATTGTCCTTGGGAGCAGACGGATACGGGTGATACTGTCGAGAGCTCTTGGGAGCCGACGGATGGCCGTGCGAGCTCTTGGGAGCTTATTGCCCTCGGGGGAAGCCTCTATGGGGCTAGTGTCGAGAGCTCCTGGGAGCTTACAGTTGGGTGTGCGAGCTCTTAGGAGCCTCTTGCCGCTGGGGGCAGACCGCTAAGAGTGTTCACATCGGGAGCTCTATTGAGCATGACGGGTACCCGTGCGAGCTCTCGGGAGCTTATTGCTCTAGGGTTACTGACGAGAGCTCTTGGGAGCTTACAGTGGGCAGTGCGAGCTCCGAGCGCTTGAGAGCATCTTGCCCTGGGGGGGGGGGCAGACCGCTACGTATGTTTCATGCCACGAGCTCTAGGGAGCGCAAGAGAGCATCACGGATGGCTGCGATTTGCGAGAGCTCTTGGTAGCTTAAAGTTGGCTACACAAGCTCTCGGGGGCTTCCTGCCTTCAAGGACAGGCCGCTTCGGGTGTTTTTCCCCTGCGCGAGCTAGGGAACATGACGGGTGGCCGTGGCAGCTCTCGGGAGCTCTCCACTTGACTGCGCGAGCTCTTGGGAGCTTAATGCCCTCGGGGCAGACCGCTACGGGCGTTTCCTGGCGCAGCTCAAGGGAGTATGATAGGTGGCCGTGGGGGCTCAATTGGGAACTTGCAGTTGGCTGGTTAAGCTTGGGAGTTCCTTGCCCCGGGGGCAGACTGCTACGGGGGTTTTCCTGTCGCGAGCTCCCCAAGGGAGCATGGCGAGTGGCTGTGAGCTCTTGGGAGCTTATAGTGGGCTGGACCAGCTCTCGGGTTCCTGCCCTTGGGGGCATACCGCTCCGGATGGTTCCGGTCCCGAATTCTAGGGAACACTACGAGTGGCTGTGGAAGCTCTTAGGAGCGTACAATTAGCTACGTGGCCTATTGCGTGGTCGCTCCGTTTGGCGGGGTTTGGCGGGTGGTTCCAGGAGCAGGAACTGCCACCAGTGGGCGATCGGCCTTTACTCAGCCAACAGAGTGTCTAGATCACGGAGGCGTCAGGCATGAGCCCAATGGCAACTTAGCGGCCCCCCGGCTAAGAGGCGTTGGGCGAGGGCAGACAGATGCCGGAGAGAGCGAGGGAGAGGGAGGGAGGGTGGAAGGGAGAGAGATAAGCGGAGCGGGCGGGCTGGGGCGGGAGGCACGAGGGGAGCGCGGGATATAGGACAGTCAGAGACGAGCCAGCGAAGGGGACGGACCATCGGTCATGGTCTCAACAATTTTTTTTTCTTTTCTTCTTTGTTTTTTCCCCTGTCGTGACCCCACTGTGGCGGGTGGTTCCAGGAGCAGGAACTGCCACCAGTGGGCGATCGGCCTTTACTCAGCCAACAGAGTGTCTAGATCACGGAGGCGTCAGGCATGAGCCCAATCGAGGTGCTCGTGTCTGATAACCATGCGTTCTTCTATAGAACATGCCAAGTGTATTTTATAACATAGGTTAAGGACGTAATTTATTTAGGACGTAAAGTTACCTATTGAAAAATGAAGGCCATCGATGAATTACTTATGCAGAGGTTTGAAACATTTATATTTTTAAGAATATTGTTGCTCGTCATGCAAAAGCGATGATTGGATCTTGGACAAAATTGTATGCTCTTTTCAACTATGCCATTTTAAATAGTCAACCGTGCCAGGTTATGCAGCAAAACCCGTGTAATTAAGTAAGTCATGAACAAATTATGTTAGTTTTGATCACAGATTATGTCTTTATACATTTAGGCGAGGTCGGGTAAGGTCAGGTAAACCAGTAGGGATCGTGACGGGTATTCGTAGTGCATACGTGTCAACCGCCTCTGACAGCTTCGTAACATGTTACGAAGGCACCAAAACTACTTCTTAAATGTTCAAATGGCTGCTAAATTCGAATTCAGCTAACAAAAACTAGCCTAGAAACATGCATAGCTTGAAAAGTGTACTGAGGTCCTCATAGGTCAATGACCTGATCTGACCTTCAGGTGACATTGACATCCACCCTTATGCATGGGAGCAACATCAAATCACATGTTTGAACGCTTGAAACCACGAAAGGACTGCAAACGCGCCGCTAATGCGAGCCGGCATACGCCGAACCGCGATTCTGGCCTCGGAACATGGTCTCGGAAAGAAGGTCAAAGTTCATTTGGGTCAGGGTCATGAAAATTCTAGGATAGGTGTAAAATTGATCAACGCGAGGGTACTAAAAGTTACGTTGCGATCAGCCGCTTTTTACGCGAGTAATTCGCGAAAAAAACTTTAGGGGGTTGCATCAACCCCATCCCCCCTGTGCCGGCGAGGGTTAAAACTTCTTGTGAGCGAATTCACGTAATGAAGAAGAATAAGGGCACAATCTACTACAGCAGCCGATAGGTGACTTAGGACAGGCACATGGAACTAGTATCTTGTCCGACAGAAGCAGGCAACAGTTCCGATTGCATTTAGGTATGCTATGCATATTGCGGAAGAGGCACATTTCGGCCTCGAAAGATACGAATTCTTGCGTCATAGTAACATATTTCTGTCGTGGTCAATTTGCGTAAAGATTGAACACCGGGTGATATCCGAGCTATTGTTCTATCCACATTTTCTTATTCAAACTCGCTCAGGGTTATCGTGCAGGTAAAGGGGGCCCGCTCAGCAGAATGTGTATGAAATATGGAGAGATTCTGAAAAATGGGTGGGGGCCCGCACACTAGGGGGCCCGCTTTGGAGGCGATGACCCCCCCGAAACAAATCCTGGCTGCGCCACTGGTTGATTGTCACGACCAAATTGGTATAAATAATAAAACTGTACAATTCCTCGAAAACTTTCAGTGATAGCCAAGTACTTCGAGTTGGATTGGCGACTGATTAACGTCATCGTCGTCTACGGTAACAATATACTATGGTCATTCTCAATGGCCATTATCTTGACGCACAAGCTTAGGACCACCATAAGCTGTGTTGCCTGTCAGTGGTACGGCGCTTTGTATTTATCTGGGCTATGATGGCAGCTTGCCAAGTCAGAGGAGTGTACCAGCTCTCACCATACAGACAGAGTACAGACCCTGACGCTCCCGACTTGTCGGGATGTTTCTTCCTGATGTGAACGTTAGTCTTTGCCGCTGTGGAGACTGGTTTCTGGGCGATGACATTCGACACAGCGGTGGTAAATGCATGCTGGATATGAAGTCATAAAAATGCCTTTACGGGATGGTTGACCCGTCCCCAAAAACCACTTGTGGAAACGTTAACTCGTATCAAAGCCCTACACAAAAGGGCTGACCCACCTCCAACTCCGTCACTGAGCGTCCACTGAGAAGCGTTGGCCGGTGGCCCATACCCAAGGTCACTTACAAAATGATTCACCCGCCTTTCCCAAAACAAAAGGGCCCACAAAAGGCTGCTGACTCGCCCATTCAATCAACTCTCAGTATGAGCAACCCGTTCCCACACCCAGCCACTCACTGAGCGGGTGGATGAAGAAGAACGGGAACCAGCAGAGCAGGAAGACGCCCACCACGATGCCCAGCGTCTTGGCCGCCCTGGTCTGCACGCGGAACTTGCTCTGCAGCCGACTGCCGACGGCGCTGCGTTCCAGGTCGGTGCAGCGCGTCTCGTCGGCGGCACTGCAGCCGCTGTCGTCCGACGGCCGCCGGCCGCCGCGGTGCACGCGCAGGGCTACCTGCGAGTCGGTCACCTTGAGGCCGTTCTGCCAGCAGCGCGTCTCGCGCACCACGGCCCGGTAGATGCGCCAGTAGACGCACAGGATGACCAGCATCGGCAGGTAGAACGAGCCGAGCACCGAGAACAACACATAGCCCACCTCGCCGTTGACGGTGCAGCGCTGTCCGGAGGCGTCGGGCGGGCCGCGCCAGCCCACCAGCGGACCGATACTGATGGCCAGCGAGACGGCCCACACCAGGCCGTTGAGCGCCATCGTGCGCCGGCCGCTCATGATGTGCGCGTGGCCGAGCGGGCGCGTCACGCCGATGTACCGGTCCACGGAGATGACGCACAGTGAGAGGATGCTAGCCGTGCAGCAGAGCACGTCAGCGGCCGCCCAGACGGCGCAGAACGCCGCGCCAAAGTACCACCGGCCCGACACCTCCAGCACGGCCGAGAAGGGCAGCACGGCCAGGCCGAGCAGCAGGTCGGCCACGGCCAGACTGCCGATCAGGTAGGCGGTGCTGTCGCGCAGCGAGCGGCTGCGCACCAGCGCCAGCAGCACCAGCGTGTTGCCGCCGATGGTGAGCGCCACCACCAGGCCGAGCAGCACCGACTTGGCCACGGACAGACAGAGCGCCGGGCCGGCGGATACCGCCGCCTCCTCCCCCAGCGGCGGCGGCAGGGAGGCGTTCAGCGCCGCGCGGCTGGCCGAGCTCCACTCCATCCCCGACCTATCGGCCGCTGCCGCCGCCGGACGTCAGCTCATACAGAGCAGTGGTGTGGCCTGTGGACAGACAGAGGGACAGACGTGTCACCTCGACGTCACATGGAGATGTGGTCAACTCATCTGCAAGGAATGCGTGCCCTTGATGTAGTGCATAGCTTAGATTTTATGACATTTTTTTCATTAGAAGTACGCTTAGGGAAAAGGAATCACAAATAGCACTCAAAGTTGTCTTCTGTAAGATCTGACTTGTGCGACATTTAAGGACATTTAACGGCATTTAAGCCCGCTTAGGTATGATCATCAAGTAAAGCCAAACTAAACAGTAACAGTAAACAGTAACAGTATCCAGCAAGTGAATAAAAGGGATAAGGCGTACACCCTCCCCGAAACCACCATCTATGCGTCATAAGGCCCTCAGCAGGTGTTTCCAATACATCGAGGGATAGTACTCTTTGGTTTGCCTCACCTTCCCCTTAATATCTAAGCATATTATACGGGTTATCGGGCGGTTCATTGGCAGTCTGTGTACACTCAGTGCAGCCAGTCAGTCACGCAGCCGCTCGCACGGCCGGATATCATAGCAGTGGCGGCGATAGGCGGCGCGTTATTTGCGCCGGGTTCGCCACGCTGGTCAATCCTCTCTGTCAATATTGGCCTCTGGCCGATCCGGCTCCTCCCAGCGCGCGGCGCCGGCCGCCACGGCGACTGTTGTCCCATTCAGCCCCAGCCGACACCCTGAGAGAGACACAGCTCGGACCGACACACCTGACAACAGGCGGGCCGACACACCACCCGACACACCTGACAATAGGTGGGCCGACACACCATCCGACACACCTAACAACAGGCGGGCCGACACACCACCCGACACACCTGACAACAGGCGGGTGGACACAGCCGACACGCTAGACACGTGACAACAGTCGGCTGACAGGTGTGACACAAGTGACAACAGGAGAGCTTCAGCACCGCGGCAGACACCCTGGGACCAACACATCGTGGGCCGACACATCTGACAACAGGCGGGCCGACATCCTGGGAGAGACACAGTGCAGGCCGACACATCTGACAACAGGTAGGTACTCCCGAGTCCCGACAACGCACGGGCGAGGCGACACAACTGACAACTGACAGGCTGACACATTTGACAACAGGTAGGTACTCCCGAGTCCCGACAACGCACGGCCGCGAGGCGACACAACTGACAACTGACAGGCTGACAACTGACAAGCGGGTCAGGCTGTGATGCTGCTGGTCCCATGTATTGGGCTCGTATCGTTGTGTGTGTGTGTGTGTGGGGGGGGTATTTATCCACTCCAGTCTATGCCGATCCGTGAATCTAAGCGGATTTCGAGTGGCTCCAGGATCAGAAATACCAGTTTCATGAAATACCCTCTTCTGACACGCCTGGCATAAACCCGATGCTGTTAAAAACAGATTGGGTATATTCATTCGTCCACGACTAATCCGCTTGGTAATGAGCTTGTCTTCGAACTAATTGGGTGAGTATGGATCCAACTAACGCTCATTTTGGAGAAGTATTGGTGACAAAAAAACTTATTTTTTATCGTCTTCAAAATGAGCTGACAACCCGTGACAGAGAATATTCAATACGGCTGATATTGAGAAACAATTAGAGCAGCACATTTAAGTGTAGGCACGATTGTCGATTGGTACAGTCAGTCTTGAAAGAACCGCGCATCGGTGCGGTGGATCCATCAAGCCTTTCATCAGTCGGGCTTGATGGATCCACCGCACCGATGTGCGTTTTTTTAGACTGACTATACCTTAGTGTCCATTACATGTAGGTAAGCTGAGCTATTCAGTGCCCGTACCGCCGACCACGCCCACTGGCTCCGGCATGGCCATCAAAATCAGATTCATTGGCGGATTCACGAGTCGCGACTGTTGTCTCATTTGGAATGACCGTTTATTGCCCAGGCACCCCTGTTACTACTGCTGACGACAGCCAGCGTTTTAGAGTGATCATCCCTACCGACATTTGTGAATCTCCGCGCCAGTCTTATCACTACGACATTAGTCCCAGACCGATTTCAGCTGCCGGGCTAACGCCTTCCAGCGCCCCGGGACGCTGGATTTGATAAATGAACGCTGTTGCACGGGGATACGTCCAAGGCGAAGTGATATATGGCACCGAAAAAGCAGAGTTGATCCTTTCATGATTAGTGTGGGCGCAGAGATTGTATCAAGAATGCGCCAGATGACAGAAACAAACTAATCATATTCTTATCTTAAACATATAAAAAGTATTCGTAAACGACGGATAGTGATTTATGCTCATCATCAGCATTTATCAATGACTTACGCTGTCCAACTGCATCGTCGAAATTACACGTAATTTATCAAACTTCTTATTAGTGGCAAGAAACTGTTAACTGTTTAATAGATCCTAAATTATTACACGCACATTCTTTGGCGATTTCGACGGTTTCCTCTGTAACACCTATTTCGTGAATTGATGCAGCAGCTATGGATGGCAATGACCATAGACGAAAAATATCTTAAAATAAGATCTTTTTTTTAAACCTGTGACAACTAATCGGCCAACAAGACTGGCAATTTGGCATTATCGAGTTGGGAGGACTCGTAGACCTAAAATTCAGAGCGTAGTCCGACCTACCTGCCATTTCCCTCAGTACGTATATATGACGCATGCAAATACAGGGTGACACAAAAAAAAAACGGTCATCACCAAATTTCAAATAACTTCGGAAGTGTTATTCAGATCATCACCAAACTTCGGCCACTTAAGGTCACACCTATGTAGCATACATCCAATAAGTTTCAAGTCTTCACTACGAATACTTTTAGTACAGTGTGTGTTTTACTGACGCTCCACAATGTGCTCCAGGTGAGCGCCACGGCGCTGCAGGGCGTAGGCACACCTGCATCCGGCGGGCAAAGTTGTCGATAACTCGATAAGAATAACGTTTCAGGGGTAGCACACCCCCTGAGCACTGTCTCCAGAGGCCATTGCACTCTGTAAAGTGCACAGCCATCGGGTTATCGACATCTTTGGTCGCCGGATGCAGGTGTGCCTACGCCCTGCAGCGCCGGGGCGCTCACCTGGAGCACATTGTGGAGCGTCCGTAAAACACACACTGTACTAAAAGTCTTCGTAGTGAAGACTTGAAACTTGGTGGATGTCTGCTACATAGGTGTGACCTAAAGTGGCCGAAGTTTGGTGATGATCTGAATAAAACTTCCGAAGTTATTCGAATTTTGGTGATGACCGTTTTTTTTTTGTGTCACCCTGTATGACGTGTTGGGCACACTGTTTCTTTCGGTGAGACAAGTTGAATGTTCAAATTAAAAACACATATTTCTGATAAAGCCCATATTAGCCGTTTTCACGACGGGCTATCTGGCGAACGCACCCAATTCTCGCCAAATCTGCACCTAATCTCTTTGATAACAAATATCTTCATATGTTGAGGTTACTTCAGAGTTCAGTGTTTTAATCGATGACGTTTTATGATATGACAAGGCAGGTACACAAGCAATTAGTGCATCTCTAGCTGACAGCTAGGTAACTAAGAAATACACTGAACCTAATTTGATCAAACCATCACCTAAGCTGCACCTAATCTACACCAAATGTGTACCAGATGGCCATCGTGAAAACGCCTATTGCCCGATCTGGGTGGCATATCTCGGAGTCACATTAGGCGTTCCCAAATATGGACACGAGTTGACTTGGCATAAAAGCTGAACATCAACAGTGAACAATTCGCCAGAGCTTCTTTGCTAGAATACAAAAGGCGTGACTTTATCACCGCCATGCGTCCACATCTATGACTTTGACATTTGCCTGGCATGCGTTCGGCACAACATCTCAGCCACGACACAACCGAATCTGACGTCAAAGCGACTCCATCGAAATCGAGCTCACCCTCCCGCTCGCGGCTACTCTTGAGAACGGAGCCATCCGTGGCTTTTCTTCTGTAGGCCGCTCCAGTAACGGCGGATTGTCGTCAGCGACACCGGACTATTTTTCAAACTGTTTCATCTTTCTCGCCAAATGGCAGGATTTTCCAGGCGGTTTTCTTCATCGTGATTGTGGAGAGCGGCAGAAATGGCCGGCCCGTTAGACCGTGAACTTGAGGGGGGGGCGTGAAAATACCCCCCCCCAGCACGGCGTGGGTTAACGGACTCCCAGGGAATATTTTTGTATTTCTCAGTGTAGCTCTTTGAAAGTTGTTTCATCTGAGGTGCATTATCATGATATCACACATTCATTTCACTGACACATGATCGTGATCACACAAGCTCAATCATGTGAGCCCAATGAAGGCACTTGAATCGTCACGTCGTGGGTGCCCGGAGCTAATTAACATACTAGGGAAAGCTGCTACCAGTCAAAGGCGCGCTCATAAACGTCAAATACGAGCATAAAATTGGAAAACCAGCTGGTTGCAAAGGGCGCAGAATCTTATGACATACCATATATTAGCCGAACTTGGTGGCCCGCCTTCGGTAGTTTATGACCAACGTTCGTGAAATATGGAAAGGAGAGTCGGAGATAAATTATAGTAGCAAAAAAATCTGACGCTTCTTGAAAGGGATGAGGCTCATGAGCAAATCTTTTGAAAGCACGAAATCATCCATAAACCGAATGATGACAGCACGGTACGGAATAGACTGACACTGCGATGTGAAATCAGCTACTAGCACATCAATGTGATAAGCGCAAGGGCATTCAGGTGTGCGTCTTTCTCATTAACAATCAATGTTTTCCATTTGACCAGAAGAATGACATCGGGACCCTATTGACAATCATTATCTATATTATAATATTTATCAATATCATCTTGTCAACAGCACATCTTGCTTAACCCATGTTTTCTTGCTTGGGGATGAAGTATAAAACTTCTGAAGGCTGAATTATACAATGCATAAAGGACTAGCAGGCAATAGGCATCTTTCATAACTGATGCTAATTTGCCCCATGCGACTATCTGTTTCATGCGTCTAGGACGGTGAGAGGTGACCCAGGATTGCACGCGGGGACCGGCGGGTGGTGTTCCCGCTGGCTA